GTACTTGACATTGCCCAGGATCTCACCAGAAGGATGGTGATGTTATCCTTGCCTAGGTTCATGGGTGAAGTGTGAAAAGTCTGCTTCCAGCTTGTTGGTTACAGAGCAAGATTAAAGAGCAAAAGTCCAAATTACAAACACAGCTAAATGAGTCATAGAAAACACACCATTTTTTAGTTAGAAGGAGACAGTTTCAAAGGAAGATACGATGTTGTCTCATTATAAACCTTTAAACTGCTGTCATTAGTGCACCCTGAATTAAATGTTTGCCTTTAAAAATGAAGAATTTATATAAATAATAAACTAGGTACAAAACATCTGCTTAAAACATAAAGAAAAAAAAGCAACAGTATATCTGCTAGCTCTGCCCACATATTAAACATGTACTCCCTGGAGTTTTGAGAAATGTTACTGTATAGAGATCTACCAAAGTCTTGGAAGGTGGGCATTAGTAGACGCCAAGCAAAGGTCTAGCCCTTAAGACATATCAAAAGCCAGTAAAGAATTCATCCTGCCCTCCCCTCAACACTTATTACACAGAGGCAGTAGATATATTGCCTCATTTGAGGGGCATTCCTGCAAAACGCCATATATTTACAGCCAAACGCCCCCTCAGGATTTCTGTAAATACTGGTTTTCCTGGCTTTGGAAATGGGTTGTTTGCAACAACTTTGAAGCTGGAGATACTGTATGCAACCTCTTAAAACCATTCCTGTAGCAGAACTCTAATTGGTCAGAGAAATCACATGACAACTTATTTATTTATTTGACCGATAGTAGAGGGAGAAGACCAATGTGATACTGTAAACAGACTTGTACAACAGTGGCGCAAGCAGACAGAGTTTAGCATATAACCCCGGAAAACTCTGCATGTGATAAGCATCTGAACCTGTTTACCATTTTCTGTCATTGGGACTGTGTGCAGACAAACTTCTGCACACAGCAACTGCACTGTGATTACAGCAAGTTACAGAGCACATGTCTTCCCAGGGAGCAACCAACAACCCTGGAGACTTCAGTGCCTTGGGGATTGGGGGATCAACTGGGTGGTTTGAAGAAGCTGCTGTCAGACTAAGAAAGCTAACAACACTTCCAGAATTGTTGGAGAGTAAAGAGAGTACTTCAGAGCTGTTTGTTCACAAATGGGTAAACTAATAAGCAGGATAACAGACGACTGAGTAAGTGCCACTTTCATAAATTCTAACAATATATTCAGCCTGCAAAGCACAAACTGGTGACAAGGTCACTTTAAGCAGTAAATTATTTCCTCAAACAAATAAAAAACAACCAGTACTACCTGAAATTAAGAAAAAAAAATATGGGCCTACAAAATTCTGGCTTAGCAAAAGCTCTGTCCCAACAATGGGTAAATATCTGGTGTCACATTCCATGAACAGACAACGTGTTAAAATCCTCAACAAACTTTCTTTGATGTGAGATATTTGAGAGCAATAATCAAAATATTACAGGACATTTAACTTTATAATATACCAGTATGTCTCAGACACATGAGCTTATTATAAGAGTAGTACTGTAAATGTAAAGTAAAAAACAATGTGTTGGAGTAATGTGTAGGTTTTTAGACGTTTTGTTCCTTTATTATGCTTATTACTAAAAGACATACAAAAATCTGATTTTTGTAATCAACGTAACATTTATTTTTCTTTCCTGTTCATTGAAGGACACAGGATTTAGAGACAACTGGGTTATACTGCCAGAGAATTTGGACACAGACAAAAAAAACCTCCCACTACGAGCATGCCTCAGTTTTGTAACAAAGCAGTGCCAAGAGCAAAATCATAAACACAGAAAGATGTGGCCTGTGTCCCTCAATGAAATCCAAGAAATTGATTTTATGGTACAAGTACGAGTATAAAAATCCAATTTTCTTTCTCATTCATCAAGGGATATAAGATTCAGTAACAACTTGGATGCCCAAAAGCAGACCAACTGAGGGCTGGGCAACACAGCAAACAAAATGCTAACAGGCCCACTATACACGACAGAAAACTGGGAACACCATGCAGCTTAACGAGCTGCCTAAAGCACCTTACACCTGAAGATGGCATCAGATTAAGGCCTGAACATTCACCTAGTAAAACTTGAGAACTTGTGAACAGAAGACCAGGTGGCAGCTTTGCAAATCTAGAAACAAATGGCCTAACAACAAAAAGCCCTACAAGAACTTCCAAACCCAGTAGAGTAAAATCACCTTTGGATGGAATGGTACTTCGGACTTAAGCACAAGGTCCTGGTTGAGATGAAAGCCCCAAATTATCTTAAAGGAGAACTATGAGGTGAGTGCTTTTCACTCACCTCATAGTTCTAGCCGACCCGTGACAATGAGACTGTCACAGGTCAGCTCAGTAGATCGGGAGGTGAGCGAACACATAACGGCGTTCGCTTGCCTCTCGATCCTGTCACAGCTCTCTCCCGTGACAGGGGAGGGGCTGGATTCCCCCCGCTCCGATCCGCCAGCGCTGACTGGCGGATCGGACAGGGGAGGGGGCGGGTACAGTTGGCTCTGCCTCTAGATAGCCAGAGCCAGCTGTCACTCACGCAGCTGGGCGGATCCCGGCATAATTGTCGGGATCTGCTTCAGCTGCGGCGTCTCAGTATACCGCGAGCTGTAGATCACGGTATACTGAGCCTAGGGTGACGGAAGGACGCTAGTTTGTGAGAACTATGGGGAAAAGCCTTAACCCCATAGTTCTCCTTTAAGAAGGAAGTAGGAATTAATAACACCTTGTCCCTGTGCAAGACCAAAAAGTGTTCTTATAGGGCAAAGGCTCTAGGGCAGACACATGCCTCACAGAGGTGATGATGAGAAGGAAGGACTGCAAAGGCAGAGATTTTTCCCACTGATGGTACTCGAGGCCAAATGCTGATCTGGGCCTGATTACAAAAAAAGTTCAGGATTTGTCCCATGGAGTAATTCCTGGGATGAAAGCTTCTTTATTTTCACCAAAGTATGTCTTCCATGTGTAACAGTGAATCTTACGGGAAAATGACTAACCAGCATTTAGCATGGTAGGAATCACTGATTCATAAGGACCCATGCCCTTCTAGACCTGTGCTTCAACAAACATACCGTTAAAAGCAGCAATTGTAAAGCAGGGTGGTAAAATGGTACTTGGCACAGAAGATTCAGATGTTCTGAAAGAGCCAATCTAGAGTCCACCAGGAGTCTGATCAAGTCGGAGTCCTGTGTCTGTCTGCAACAGTTCACTTGAGCTTTGAGGATCACCGGAATGCCCTCCATCTTGATCCTCTGGAACAGATGAGGAAGGAGTTTCAGGGGAAGAAAGTAGTCGACCAAGTTGTACTAATGCCATGGAGCCACCAGAGCATGCACAGCATCTGCCTGGAGACAAAGAGGTCCAGAGCCGGCATCTCCTTCCTGTGGACACAGGTTCTAGAACACTTCTACATGCCAGCTGAGAAAATCTGCCTGCCAACTGCCAAGGGATAGAAGCATAGAGTGGGTAACAGGCTGATCCTCTATCTTTAAGTCGGCACACACCACATCAATAAGAGCCGAAATGGTCTTTCTAAGCCCGAGAGTTATGGTGGCTGCCTGGGACTCCTCAGGGACAATATTATCTGGCAAGGATTTTTGAGCATCTTCATCAAATAGGGCCTCTGCAGCTGAAGGCTCAGAGGTCACTAATCCTACAGAGCAGGTCAGATAATAATTCTGCAGGGAAAGCATGAGGTATGCTTATGGCCTCCGTCAACAGTGTTAGCAATTAAAATTGCAATTGGTCAATAAACTCATGCATAACTGCAATCCTCTCAGGTTAAAAGCAAGAAGGGAGCCACACCCAACAAAGTTAAAGAAAGTGTTGAGGAATGATGAAAGTCAAGCAGAGGATGACCTTTCAAGGTTGTCAGTGTGAGGCCCTTGAGAGGGAACACTGTAGGCCACCCCAGAACTGTTAGTGGATTGTGAGCTGGAGGGACCTGATGCAGTGGGAATGCTTCATGTGCCTCTTGAAGCAGTGGCAGAAAGGTGCTACCTCTTGCTGAATGGCAGGAACAAGAGCATGGAGTGCAAATGTGAGACACTCAATCTAGTGACAAAGCATTCAGTCCCCCAGAATTACAACTTTCTCCGTGAAAATCCAACATAAAAATATGGATAAGAATGATACCCAATGGTTCTAATAAAATTAAGTAACTCCTGATGCTTAGCCCACATGGCCATCTCATAAATGAATCTTCAGAGACTAAGTCAGAGTCTGTGCCATGGCTTTGGATCTGGAAAGCACTCTGGTCTGAAAAGCCCCACAATGTGGAAAGGTCATACTCCAAGCGTGCCCACAATCATCTAGTCCAGAAGTGTCCTGGTCCAGCCTGCAAAGCTTTTGCTGAGAATATGCTGATCCGCATAGCTGCATAAAGAGACCAGCTCAAGCAGCCATGAATAAAATAAACTAAACTGAGCATTATATTAAAAAGGAATGAGAGGATGGGGGTGCATTGGAAGCACTTGCCATAATGTGGGCAAGTATGCACAAAATGCTTGTACAATTTTAGCAAAATCACTTCTGAGGTTGCTCTGTTCTGACAGCTCTCTACTCTGTCTTGCCACTTCCCAGCTCCCTGGGCCAGTAGCTTCTTCCCCTGCCAGCTTTGTCCTTCTTTGGCCATAGGACACCCAGTGATATTATAACTACCATGCATTGAATTGCATCATCCCAACACTGGGCTCAACTCCTGTGCATCTTACAGATGCTGTGAGTGTAAACTGCACCGCACATTGAAAGTAGGCAGTGTTAGAAAAAAAGAAGAGTTTTTTTGGCAAATGAGAAACCTCTTCTGTCAATAAACTGTGCATACCAGCAATTCTGTTTTCCTGAATTCAGTTCTGCTTTAAAATTTCAGCTATACACAAGTAACATTGCTGAAAAGCACTGTAATGCAAATACATGCGTCACACATGGCATTGCATGCAACCAAAAACATTTTTCTAAAAATTGTAAAGTAAACCTGCTTACCAAAATCAACTGGAAAAGGATGGGTACCAAGTTGCCATCTTCAATGTCCCTATAACAAATAAAATTAAAGGTGATATATGAATGAGATGTAAATGCATATTGTGTTAAGAAATATATGCTGTTACCTCACAGTAGTTTAGTTAGGTTTTTTGGTCCCACTTCACCATATTTACATGTACTAAGGGTTTTGCTACTCAACAATGTCTTTATGACACCATATTGCCCTTTGTGTTAAGAAATAAAATAATTAAAAGTTCATCATATTATATTTTGTTTCTTTAGAAGGTGTTATGGTAATGCATGGTCAACAAATGCATCTCAGGGGAGGAAAATGCCTTTCTCTAAGATCTCATGAGCTTACAGATGAGATTTCCCAGCAATGCCCTGCTGATGTAACTTTCCCAAGATGCAAGACTTTGGCACTTACATCAGTTGTGCCAGAACTGGGCCAGGAGGTGAACTCTATTTGTAAGTAAATGAAAAACAAGTTTGTATAACTGATGAATGTAAGATGATTTTAAATCAGCATGCAGAGCTGTATGCTGCTGTGATTTTTAGTAAAAGGGGGTCCAATTTAAAAGTTATGAAAAGATCAACAAAAGAAGTAATTCAAAATAGTTCAGTCTTCTAATAAGCTATAATTATCATGCATTCATTTATTTAATACTGTACATGGTTTAAGCAGAGAGGACAGTTTTGATATGCTTCACTTGATTATCGCTATCAACATTTTGTTTTCTATCTACATTTTGTTTTATTAGGAAGCAGCTGCTAAATCGGGAGAATAAGATGAAAAAGGAAGGTCATTTTAGAAAGCTAGATGAATAACTATGAACAGTAGAATAGGTTTTAACAATTTAACACAGGCACACATAGAAAGTAAAACGTGTTAAATGCAGAACATTATACATCTGTTAAAATCCATACATGCAGACAGACATTTATGAAAATGCCCTCTGATAAAAAGGCAAGATATTATCTTACAATGATAAAACAGTTTAAATAATTAAAATAACTACTATTAATATAGAAAATATAAGCATCTCTAAAGTATAATACATTTTCAAAAGCTGTGAGCTTTATAGCCACTCCAATATTATATTATACTAAGCCCAAAGCATCCATTTTTTCCTTTATACAGATCTACTACGTCTTACTTACTTAGAAGTAGACAATAGTCAGAAGGATGTCCTGTTTCACTTTATAAAAGGGAACCAGAACTTATCACACTTGAAGCAAACTAATGCAGAGGCTGTACATCATGCACCTAAAGTGTGTGATCACTTATTGCAACATCCTGATAAACCCAAACTTCTGATTACAGAGAATGGATATACCCTTCAAACCCCCAGCCTCTTACAGGACAGTGCTTAGTGTATTCACCCAGCTCCAGGGCAGCCATCAGAAATTTCGGGGCCCCTTACACAGCTTAAGGC